AGAGAGAGAGAGAGAGAGAGAGAGAGAGAGAGAGAGAAGAAGCGGTACAAGAGATGACGCATGCCCAAAAGTTCATTGGACGATAGATTAAGATCTAGTACCCAAAGAGATAAAAAAGAGGTAAATAGAAGGAGACACTTCAAAAAAAATTTTTTATATAGAAACCCTATAAAGAGAAAAAATCATAAGATCTAGCCAAGTTAAAATAATACATTATATAATTATAAGTACATAGACGCGCTCTCATCTTGAAGTAGAAAAGATGGAATTACAATATTAGTGTATAACAGTAGATGCATAGTTCAACAATAATAGTTGTAGTGAGACACAAATAACATAGTTGATTGTATGAAAAGGTTAGCCCATCATAAATGCTGTAGATTGTGGACGTAGCATCAGCTAGACAAAGATGTTATAGTTAGAAGGCGTGGAAGTGGTTGGTCATGTAGGCCATAAATGATTGCTTCAAGAGTATCGGTTGGCCATAGATGTCATAATATAGAGCTGCAGAAGTTGTGAACCATGTAGGTCGTAGTTGGTTACATATGACAGTTGCATATGACGTAGTGGCGGCCCGCAATAACATCTATTTGTCATAGATGTTGGAGTTGGGAGTTGCATAAGTTATGAACCTCGTAGATTGTAGTTGGTCATGTAGGTCGTTGTGGTAAGTCATAATAACAATCATAGGCCATAAGGGATAAAGTTGGGAGTTGCATGAGCTGTGGACCGCATAAGCCATAGTTGGTCATGGTCGTAGTAGAGAGTCATGGTAGTGTTTGTAGACCATAAAGGTCAGAGTTTGGAGTTGCATGAGCCATGGATCACTTAGACCATAGTGGTGAGCCGCAAATGTCTGTAGGTCATTGAGGTCGGAGTTTGGAGTTGTATGAGATGTGGACCAAGTAGGTTGTTATGGAGAGTTTTAGTAGCGTCCATAGACCACGAATGCCAAAATTGAGAGTTGCATGTGTTGTGAGTTGCATATGTCATAGTTGGTTATATAGGTCATGACAGAGATCTGTAATAACGTCCGTAGGCTGCTTAGGCTGAAGTTGGGAGTTGTATGAGCTATGAACCACGTAGGCCATAGTTGTTCACGTACGTCGTAGTTAGTCACATAAGTCATAGTTGGTCACGTACGCTGTAGTGGAAAGCTGGAGTAGCTTCTATAGAATAAAGAGGTCAGATTTGACAGCTGTAAGTTGTGGACCACGTAGGTCGTAGCTGATCATGTAGGTCATAGTGAAGAGCCTTAGTAGTGTCTGTAGGCCACAAAAGCTAGAGTTTAGAGCTGTATGAGTTATGGACCACAAAGGCTGAAGTTTAGAGTTATATGATTTGTAGACACATAGCCACAGTTGTTCACATATTTCACAATGATGAGCCGCAATAACATTTGTGGGACATAATGATCGGAGTTGGAACTTGCATGTATTATGAGACATGTTGGCCATAGTTGGTCATATATGCTGTAGTGGAGAGTCGTAGTGACGTATGTAGGGCACAGAGTTTAAAGTTAGGAGTTGCATGAATTGTGAGTTGCATAGTCTGTAATTGATCACATAAGCCATGAACGATGAGAAGTAATAACATCTATAAATTGCATAGCTCAAAGTTGAGATTGACATGAGCTGCGAACCATGTGAGTCGTAGTTGGTTCATAATGGAAAGTCGTGGCAGCATTTGTAGGCCACAGAGGTTGAAGTTGGAGCTGCATGAGCTGTGAGCAATATAGGTCCTGGTTGGTCACATGGGAGGTGGCAAAGAGCTGGAATAACATCAGTAAGCTACCAAGGCCGAAGTTGAAAGATGCATGATGAGATAATTTCAGTAATCTATAGATGGCCATCGTATCCTAAGTACAACGATTGTAATAAATTATTGCAGGTAGTTACACCGTATTCAAGATTCATTGTTTCACTATCTTTTGGGCACATTGCTTCATAGGATGCTTTACTTCACATGGCTAGTTGTTACTTCGCATGTCGCTTCGTCACTTTAAAGCATACACCATGACTTCTTCATGGGCTTCATTTCAAAGAGCAGGGGGAAATCGATGGTGGTCGATGATGGTTGATTAGCGGCGCTCAACTGTGGTTTGCATCATCGGGAGTGGGAAGCGTTCATTGGGTCTTCGGTGCAATGCAACACTAGAATTCAACTCCTTCTACCAATCTAGCTCTAGCTTTAGCTCTTCCCCCCTCTCTCTCATGATGGAAGCAAGGCTCTATTTATAGAGTTTAGAGGATGACACCCTACAAATAAGGAGGGAACTTGAACCACTTCATTGGATGGCCCAAAGATCGTCTCTCGATCAAACAACATTCTATGGACATCTAAGTTCCTTAATGTTTTCGGAATTGAATGATCCTGGGTTTGCTGGATTCGTCTTGTCTAGACACTTGATTTGACTATAAACTTGTCAGATTTGTAACCCATTTGACCTTCCAACTAGGGCACCAAAATCTTTCAAAATTGGTTTAATGGCCTAATATGGGCTTGATTTGTCAAAGGATTGAACCAATTTTGGTGTCATTGTGTCAGTCTTGTCAAGTCGGTCAGGTTGACTGTAAGTTTGTTAAAATTAGAGTTATGAATGATTTTTAATTTCAGTTTCAAGGTTTTTTCCTCAATGAATGCTCCGCGATTCAAGTTAATCGCCTCAAGAGCTGTGTTAAATGATAAAATATATTGATAACATATAAATAAATAATTTTTTTCTTCTTATCCTCATTTGTTCCCCAATTAAATATATTTATAACCCCATAAGCCATTATAAGTTCAAAAAAATTACAAAATAAGCTGAGAGGCGATAAATGATTAAATATAAATTATTTAAATGAAATATGGCTAATTAATGATAGAAATTGCTAAGCCAAATAAGAAGTATTATGTTCTTGTTGAAATGGATAAGATGAGCATTTTTTTTGTCCGTGTCAACTCTTCTCCCTTCGGAAAACCGATCCTCAAGGTCGAAGTTGAATCTGGTATGAGATTGGTAAGCCCTCCCATTATACCTGTATTTATTGTTCATAGGCTGAGTCCTTTAAGGAGCATGCGAGAATGGAGGATGCCCATAGTTGAGCGAGTGGATGATTATCAATGTTTGTTGGCGCTAATATAGCAGGATGAAAGTGGACATTCTGATATGGAAGACTAGATGAATAAGGTATTGTGATGGAAGCTATAGGTGATGAGCAACATTCCTAATGCATTTCAAAATTTATATGAACCATAAAAATGACAAAAAAAAAAAAACTTTAGAGTATGAATATTTGTATATTGACGT